TTCAAGTTGGGTTAGATAATATTCAACATAATTCGATAAAATAATAAAATAATAATTTTTTGAAACTCTAATCTAAATATATAGTCTCATCAATATCATAAATTAATAATTGTATAAATTTATCAAAATATATATATTATATGTTAAAACTTTGAATGAAATTTGATTCTAGTATTGTTTGTTTTTGTTAAATTTGTATTGAAATTTGGTAAAGTTCATTTTTAATATTTTTATAACATCAAAAAAATTTGTGTTGTTTTCTAGACATAATAATTTTTTTTTTAGTTGTAATTGATTCTAGAAAGATATTGATTATAACCAAAAAAACTTCTATTCAAATAAATTTTTTTTAAGAAATTACAAAGTTAACCAAATCTCTCTATAATTATTAATCGATAAAGTAATACTTTTATAAATTTACTAGGGGAGGTCCCCGCGCCCGGCGCGGGGTTGTATGTTGATTAAAACCAGATTTAGTCATTTAGGGTTATAAGTTTTAGACAATTATTGATTTAATTTTGTCAAGAGTATAATTTTTATAACGACATTAATATAGAATTATGGTAAAACGCCATAACGTTTGATATATTATTGCGAGAAAATAGTGATTATTATCCTCTGAATATAGTAAAATGCAAAACGGAAAACTAAAATCATTAGAACCAGAAAGTATAAATTTAGTAGTCTTGGTTTGCTCATCAACAACCAAAGATAATCAAAAGATCAAAATTGGATGTGTGACATTTGTCCTTTCTTCTTGTTGGAAAAGATATCTCGCATCCTCGTTACATCATGACAAAAATGATTGAATAGAATCTGCGAACACTTGTATGAAGCAGTACCTCTTCGTGTACCTTAATTATCAAAGGAATATAGTTTCAATGTCTCAAACCCCAACAATACATGTCAAAAAACAAAACCAAAACAAAATACTTTCACTCATTTCAGTTCTTGCAAATCTGAATATACATATGGTAATGTCATCAATACATTGCCTCCACTCAGCGAAAAATTTATTGACATAAAACCACGGTAGTCGATACCGGAGACGCTCACAACTACAAACAACAGAAATTTCGAAGGTACCAATAGTTCTTGACTTCGAATTTAATAATGTGACAATGACAATAATGTGACATCGACAATATTATGTTAACTTACAAAATCCTTCAATTTTTACAAGACATTGAAGTTTAAAGATTATGTTCATTTGGAAACTCCTTCCATTATCCTAAAGATATTGATGTCAAAACTCTTACGTTAATTTTGATATCATGCTCTTCCTCTCCAGACTATTTTAAATAATTGCCCACTCGTCAATGACTGGCTTCTTGGGAGCAAATTCAATCTGATGAGTGTTGTTTTTGTACTTTTGTAACAGAGTATGGGATCACCTCCTGCTCCTCTGTGAGATCTTTCGAGGTATGGAATTTGCTTTTCTCTAGGATTTATCCTCGACAAAGATTGTTTTGATTTTGGACTGAGATACTTCTTGGACCGACACTCTTCTACCCATGAGATACTTAAATAATTGTCAACTCGTCAAAGATTGGGTTCTTGGGAGCAAATTCAATCAAATGAGTGTTGTCTATGCACTTTTTCAGCGGAGTCTCGGGATCACCTCATGCTCCTCTGTGAGCTCTTCCTAGGTGTGGAATTTAGTTTTCGCTAGGCTTTATCCTCGACAAAGGTTGTTGTGCTCCTGGACTAAGCTACTTTCTTGGATCCGGCACTCTTTCTCTCTAGAGTCACTTAAATAATTGCCGACTCGTAAAAGACTGGCTTCTTGGGGACAAATTTAATCCGATGAGTGTTGTCTTTGTACTTTTGTAACGGAGTCCCGAGATCACCTCTTGCTCCTCTGTGAGCTCTTCCCAGGTGTGAAATTTAGTTTTCTATAGGTTTTTTCCTCGACAAAGGTTGTTTTGCTCTTGGCCTGAGCTACTTTCATGGACTGTCGAGAGTCACTTAAATAATTGCCCACTCATCAAAGACTGGCTTCTTGGGGCCAAGTGCTGTATTTTCACTTTTGCAACAGAGTCTCGGGATCACCTCGTGTTCTTCTGTGAGATTTTTCAAGGTGTGGAATTTGGTTTTCTCTAGGATTTATCCTCCACAAAGGTTGTTTTGCTCTTGGGTTGAGCTACTTTTTGGCACCTGACGCTCTTTTTCTGTTGAGACACTTAAATAAATCTCGCTCTAATCGTCCTCTTCAGTCGTTAAAGACTGGTTTCCTGGGGACAAATTCAATTCGAGGAGTGTTGTCTACGCACTTTTGCAACGGAGTCTCAGGATCACCTCATGCTCCTCTGTGAGCTCTTTCGAGGTGGGAAATTTGATTTTCTCTAGGCCTTATCCTTAACAAAGGTTGTTTTAATCTTGGGATGAGCTACTTTATTGGACCCAACGCTCTTCCTCTCCTTACACTTTTAAATAATTGCCGACTCGTAAAAGACTGGCTTCTTGGAGATAAATTCAATCCGATGAGTGTTGTCTTTGTACTTTTGCAACAGAGTCTCGAGATCACCTCTTGCTCCTCTGTGAGCTCTTCCCAGGTGTGTAATTTAGTTTTCTCTAGGCTTTGTCCTCGACAAAGGTTGTTTTGCTCTTGGCTTGAGCTACTTTCTTGAACCGTCGAGAGTCACTTAAATAATTGTCCACTCATCAAAGACTGGCTTCTTGGGGGCAAGTGTTGTATTTGCACTTTTGCAACGGAGTCTCGGGATCACCTCGTGTTCCTCTGTGAGCTTTTTCAAGGTGTGGAATTTGGTTTTCTCTAGGATTTATCCTCCACAAAGGTTGTTTTGCTCTTGGGTTGAGCTACTTTCTGGCACCTGACGCTCTTCTTCTATTGAGACACTTAAATAAATCTCCAATCATCCTCTCCAGTCGTTAAAGACTGGTTTCCTAGGGAAAAATTCAATCCGATGAGTGTTGTCTATGCACTTTTGCTACGGAGTCTCAGGATCACATCCTGCTCCTCTATGAGCTTTTCTGAGGTGGGAAATTTGATTTTCTCTAGGCCTTATCCTCAACAAAGGTTGTTATACTCTTGGGCTGAGCTACTTTATTGGACCCAACGCTCTTCCTCTCCTTACACTTTTAAAGAATTGCCCACTCATCAAAGACTGGCTTCTTGGGAACAAATTCAATCTGATGAGTGTTGTCTTTACACTTTTGCAACAGAGTCTCGGTATCACCTCATGCTCCTCTGTGAGCTCTTCCCAGGTATGGAATTTAGTTTTCTCTAGGCTTTGTTCTCGACAAAAGTTGTTTTGCTCTTAGGCTGAGTTACTTTCTTTGTCCTAACGCTCTTCCTCTCCAGAGTCACTTAAATAATTGCCCACTCGTCAAAGACTGGCTTCTTGAGGACAAATTCAATCTGATGAGTGTCGTCTTTGCATTTTTGTAACGAAGTCTCATGATCTCCTTCTGCTCCTTTGTGAGCTCTTTCCAGGTGTGGAATTTAGTTTTCTCTAGGATTTTTCCACAACAAAGGTTGTTTTGCTCTTGGATTGAGCTATTTTCTTGGACCTGACGCTCTTCCAGTCATGTGCCTTCTTTGCTTAGAAAAGTAGCATCTCAAGTGGTGGTTTATAAGTTCTGGCGACAGCGTAATAACATTCTCCATAACTCCTTGCGGCTTGCTGCTCAAATCATTTTCAAGATGGTGGAGTGGAGCTACGAAACATCATCACTTCGAGATGAACAAAGCTTATGCTTATTTGGATTCGTTATCTATTTCCAAATCTTTCTTTACTCTACTGTAGTCTTGTTTTTATCTCTTTTTTTGCCAAGGTTGCTTTTGTGTAATTATTTATCTTTTGTAAAGCCTCAAACTTCATTTTAGATCATATTTACATGTTTAGGAAAAAAATAATTCGGAAAAATGGAAACAAAAAAAATAGATAAGCTTAGTAACTAATAAAAATTTTTGTGATCCTTAGCACAAAACAACTCTGCATTCCTGCAACTTTCAGCACACATATTTTTTAGCATCATTCGGGTGCCATTGCAAACAATAGTAGCCAAAACCATAAGAAACAATATCATAGAAACGTGATCGACTAATAAATATTCAGAAATTATATATACATGAAAAACAACAATATTCGAATACCTCGAGTGACTTCTATTCTAGTGAATCTCATGATAAATATGGTGATATTATCACATTGTTTACTCCGTTCTCTCAAAAATTTACAACAGTATCCACCATGTAGTCGACATTATAGACGTAAATTTATTATAAAATTAAGTTTTTAGCATACTACCCAAATTAAACTATAACAAATCTAATTTTGATTAAATTAATAACTTACAATTCATCTTCTAATTCCACATAAACTTGATCCCACACTTTATTATTGGTTTTCCGTCTTCAATATTGCTAACACTCACGACCCAACCAACTAAATATAATTATTTAAATTAATAGATCAAACCATAACAATGCAAAGAATAAAATATCCAAACAAAAGATATTATGGGACCAGGGAAATAAACATACTCAAAATTAAGTATCAATTTTCCTAAAAGATGCGAATGCGCAGTAATCAATCGCACCCAAGGAAGGTATATGTGAAACAAAGATTGATAAATTCCAATGAATTTTAAAATCATAAAAAGTATGACTAAGCAAACCGATAACATGAATCAAAATCTCTAAGTGTTATCCATCCAGGGCCTGCCCTGAGATTTGAAGGGCCAAATACTCAAAAAAAAGTTTTTGGTTTATTTTGAAAGGTTTTAAAATTTAGGGCCAATTATAGTAAAATAAATAAAATTAGGTCCGTTTCATAAATAATTTTTGTTGAAGAATTTCAGAAACAAAATTTGGGTTATAGCAAAAGTTTCTTGTTGATGTCTATAGGGCCGGCCATGTATCTATCGTCCTTGGAAAAACCTGAATCCACGATGACGATAATACTCTCTATCAATTATAGTATGTATGTCGTGACCCTAACAAACAAAATAAAATTGTTAAAGGTATAGCAATCTTTCAGCAAACAATTTATTTTATTAGAAAAACCAAAAATCTGTATAACCTCTGTATCAGTATAAGTTGGAACATATCGTCCAAGATCGAAGAACACTTAAACCTATTAAGTATCTATACTCAGATACTTTGATTTTACAAGGGAGCACTGAAGGGTGCAGATATGACACTCATGCTACGATAAAATCTTTCAAAGCATTTCTTGCTCATCTTCGGGGTTTTGTCCCATATTACGAGCCTAGCTAATCTAATCAAATATACATGATGAGAATATGTCTTTATCAAGTAAGTAGTGGATTGATTAGGGTTAAGTGGTATACCAAACCTCCTTAATTAAGACTCTTGGTCTCTTAGTCTCTGTTTCTATACCCTCTGTTTTACCTCTTTGTAAAGGAAGAATCTAAATTATTCCACTTCATGACGTATTAATTAAATTTTCCAACATGCTATTTTTACATTTCACTGAATCGTTTGCTTCGCGGAACAGTTTCCTTCAAACATTGAGAAAAAAAATCATCATTATTTGATGTTCTAAAACTGAACAACAGAGCAGATGCAGGTATATCATGGATATTGAGGCTTAGAGTTGATACAAAGTTGTTTCTGAAAGATTTACCTTGCTTTGATTTTAGTCTTTTCTCTCTGTCACATTTCCCCTTAGCACTGTCTGTTTTCTAGAAGTAGCAGACACAGTCAAAGGTGTCTGTTTCCTTTGAGCGTTAGAGCATAATCATTTCCCTACAAACCATGCGATACAATAATTAGCATTTTTCATCTATAGTATCATGTCTGATAATCAATACCTTAATGGGATTGCTTTCAATACATGTATGAGATATGTTTTTCCGCAATTTCTTGTCCGTGGGCGATGACATTAGCATCTTTACCCTCAAAGACAGTAGAGATAAGAGGCTTTATCTCCTTTGATAGAATTAAACCTGTGATTCTGTTTTTTTTGTAGCAATAGTCCAATTTATATGAATCTTTCGAACTGCCACAACACAATAGTTAATATGGCTTGAAACGTTGCTAATCCACAACAGACTGTGAAAGATTTAACTCAAAACTCAAAAGTATATTCTACTCGGTGAGAACATTTTTGTAAAATTAGAAAATCGATAAATTAAAGATAAAAGATCAATTGAAACATCACCTGAATCTTCTTCATGCATCGTGGTTGCTTTCATTCATCCAAAACATACAATCGTTTAAAAAAACAAACACTATTAGAATTTATAGTAACGAAAATAATATGTATAGCCAAAAAACAAGAAGATGAGCATACCAAGGCTCCTCGGAGGCAACGATTGGTGTCTGAAAATTTTAGCAGCGTTGTGCCTCTTGTTGGTTGGAATTGGAACACCAGCTGGTGTATAAGGATCACACATAACCTGCATGTATCAATAATCAATAATTTCATGGATCTGATATAGTTCCAATTGAATTTGGTACACTAATCAGATAAAACAAACCATGAATTTGGTACACCAGCCTTTATTGAAGTTTAATATAATAATTGATGATTAAGCGTTACATAGATGGATAAAGACGTGACAATAAAAAAAGATAGATAAAAGCAAGCTTTACGTTTTTACACGCCTTGATTCAAGGCAAGACACCGAAACACCCCGTGAAACAAACCATGTTCATACCTAAATGAAAAATCCATAAAGAGATCATTATTTAAAAAAAGAGATAAAACTTTTGATCGCATCAATACAAAGAAATAATAATAATTGAGACTCCTGGTGAAAGATAATCAGAGAGAAGCAAGAGAAAAAGAAGAGTTTCCAACGATTATAGTCTATTGGGGTTGTTGAGAGGCCGTAATTTGCATCATGATGGAACCAATAATCAAACTGATATCAAATTATGTAAATACAAAATCAAAGCTTCTTTTTTTTAGTGAAGAATATGGTAAATACAAAATCAAAGCTTCTTTTTTTTTTAGTGAAGAATATGAAATCTAAGCTGCTCGCAAAATATTATGGGAAAGCTTATAGATTTCTCAATACACCAAGCATAATTTAAATATTAAACATGAAAGTACTAAAGTGAAAAACTCACCATATGTTCGATTGAATCAACAATTTAATTGTCCTGGAATTGTTTAACGACGTTGCATCCGTAACCTATAACAATACATAAACACCATAAATTCATATGTGTAAAGCCAAATAAAATAAAACGCAAAAAAAAAAAGCAAAAAAAATGGGGTTAGTTATGATTTGAAAGTGAAACCTAGAGAAGATATTTATATTAAACTGAAAGGCGGTGTACGATCTAATTTTTTTAATTTTTGAAGATAATTACAACAACAAGAAATGAAGATTTATATATTGTGTTAGATCAAATCTTTATCAAAACAATTAATATTCCTAAAAACAATTAATAACTACTATGGATATTAATTATAAAAATTATTCCTTATTTTATTTGTTAAAAAAAGGAACAATAACATAATTTTTTTTAGATTTACAATTATATTTGACATTTATTTAGATACACCATCATTATCGGTATAAAATATAAAAGAAAGTTTCTTTTATTTTATCAGATTTGTGAATTTAAAGAATATATGATAGTTGTTTTGATATTATCGGCAATATCTATATATTTTAGAAAAGTAAATTTTACTTTTAAAAACAATTGGCTCGTAATTATCACAACATAAATTTACCATTAATATATCAAAAATATAATTAAACGATTAATTATGAGACACATCTTTTGTTAAAAAAAAAGAACCAAAAAGGAAAAAAAAAACACGGAAAAGGAAGAGAAAATAAGAAGACACGACCAATCCTTTCTCCGACGTAATTGTATGTGACTCACGACCATGATTAGATTGGTGGAGATTAATCATTGGATGTTCTTGGTCGAACGATAAACCGTCATAAAAAAGGTATGTAAACTACATTTGATCCAAATTTATTTATTTTTTTCATTTTTTCGTGTTTAAGAATATTACTATTTTGTTAAATGTAAAATATATCGAATTTTTATATTTTAGGGTCAGTTAATTTTTTAATTTTAATTAATATTCGAATTAATTTAATAGAAGGTATTTAAGTAATTACGCAAAATCAAGGGTTCAACAAGAGCCGAGAGTCTGACACGTCAGCAAAAACACTTCTTAAATATTGTTATTATAGATAGATGGGATTACATAGTACAGATATTATTAATTTATAGAAGTTTTAATGTATATATGAATTGTATAAAATAATGATAAGCCTTATTCAGCCCAAAAAAAAAAAAAATAATAATAATGATATGAGCCCTTGTCCATTATATCATCATAGAGGTGCCAGGCTAGTCTCGCTTTTTTTTTCTTTTTTTTTTTTTTTTTTTTTTTTTTTTTTTTTTTTTTTTTTTTC